TTTTTTATTTACAGGTTTACCATTACGAAGAAAACTCAAACCTGATGCCGTCCCTGATACAAATCTTCCCAAACCTTACCGACCCAGAACTAAGGACACCAAAATTCTTCCTAAACCTACGAATATTATCAAAACCATGCCCAAACTATGCAATACTTCCCCCAAAAAGCCAATAAAGGAGGACATAGAAGTTCCAAAAATCGAAGCAAAACTCAGAAAAATACTGACAACAAGCTCACCCGTACGTCAAAGAATCAGTATCATGACTCGAAGTCCTATGAGCTTCAATCACTCTCAGTTTTTAAATAGCACACCTACAGAGCTCTACGTTTCAAAATTAGATTCACTGAAAGAAAATGAATCTATATACAATAATAATTCATCAAAAAACAACAACAAATGCGCTAAATTGCCCATGAGGTCTAGCTATAGGATAGCTAAGAAGAAATCTATTGAATCTCTAAGCGATTCCTTCACAGAAAAGGTGAACAGCAAGGCGAGAAGTGGTGATAAACCTGAGAGGTTTGAAGATAAACTCAAGTTTATGGCCAAGTTGCAGCTGAAATTTGAAAGAAAAGAAAACAGTGTCCAGCCTGCAAATAACTCGGAAAATTTTCTGGGAACTGATAAAAACAGGTAAGATAATTTTAGTGCAGTATAAAAGGAAACAATAACCCGGCATTTATTACGTTATATTATATGAAATTACTGAAATTAGGTATTGGTACTTATAATGTTATACAATAGTTACTTAGGTCATAAATTGACTTTTGAGTAATCAGTAGTACGATAGTGTACATAATAGTTTTTATGTGTCTAGGAAATTCTAAGGATGTTAATTACCGAGGGCAAAGTTTGTCTCTTCTGAGGTTATTAACATTTTATAATTCCCGTAGTACATAGATAATTTGATTTCTTACTGAAATCAGTATATTTTGTAAAATGTTGCGTTTATTAATCTTCCGGTATATTTCTATTAGCGCTGCTGGTAGGAACTTTGTTTGTTACCAGGTTACTATTGTATTAAATGACCTGTTTATAAATTGACGGTTTTTGCCAATCGAGTTCAGTTTTTTGTCAAAAAAACGCCTTTTGCACGAATTCGCACACGTTAGATTACGTTTTCATTAAAATGGAGGAAATATTAAAAAAAGCTGAAGAACAATTGTTACTTCCATCTAAAAGTGCCAAAAATCCATTTACCAAAAAGAATATAAAAAAATACCAGTGTCTAGGACAGAAAAAAGAAAAATATTTTAGCAAGCGATGTCAATGAAAAAATTATTATAATATGTGACATTAATGATGTAAATAAATTATTAGAGTTATTAGAATGTCCATTTTAATTTATATTATTATTTACAATCTCTTTTGTATTTCATGGTTGTTATTTATAAAAAGTTAGGGGAATTATGAGATCTTAATTCCCGTTAATAATATTCCAAGGGAGTTATGACTCCAGTTATTGTTAGTGGTTTAATATAAGCTTATATTGTCTTGGTTAGGCAATATAAGCTTATATTATTTCAGTAAGAACTAAAATTATTTTTAACACCACCGTCGCTAAAATCAGTGCCCAAATAGCCGTTGCCAATTTCTCATTAAACTTTCCAATTAATTCACCCCTAACTTATCATTCATTCATCCCCACCGGCACTGCGTCATCCCTAATCCATGTCCCAATCGCTGGACCAACACGTAGATACGCGCCCCCTCTAACGAGCAGGAAACGATCAATATCCCCTCCACCACCTTCATCCCTTTGGGTGATGCACTAATCACGATGGAACATGAAACTAGCCGATCGTGATATGAAGGAATTTCATGAAATCACATTTAAATTACATTAAGAGAGGCTGGAAAAGTATAGTCTGTCCAACTAGAGGATACATGACAGTGACAGTTGTTGTTTGACATTTTAAGTCACACATATAGGGTTTCCATACAAGTTTTTGGAAATCCAGGGTGAGTGAGCTTTGAGATGTGGACAAAATCCGGATTTCGGACTTTATAATTATGTTACTTTAATGACTCATGTCAGCTTAATAATATATTTTCTTACGTTTGTGCTTAGGCAGGTATAAAAGTGCTTTACTTTTATGCCGAGGCGTTAAAATAACTTTTTTTTGTGTTCTCAATCACGTCACAAAAATGAATACTTTTGTACATACATACATACTGCCATTACTCGCTGACGAGTATTTTACACGCATTTTTTTCAT